CTTTTATGTGTTACGTACGTAGTATGTGTGTACAAATATACATTTAGGTAAATGTTTTTGAGCAAAGAAATTTTTGTGATAAGAGCTGGTTTTTTGTTTTTGTTCGTTTGTTTGATTATTTGTTTAAAGATTACTGTCAGCAGGATGATGATTGGGTTGAAAAGAGGTAAGCAGAGAGCCAGATAGGAAACTATTGCAATAATCTATGGAAAGCAATAAAATCCTGTGGTAGTAAAATGGCATTGCAGAATGAAAAGCTAGTAGATAGATTAAAGTTATATTTCAGCTGTAGAATCTTTAAGAGCTGGCAAAAGATTGAATTTCATTTTCCTTCCTAATTACATTTTACTTAATTATTTAAATTAGTTGGCATTCCTAAAGCAGCCTAAAAACATCCTAACTGGAAGGAGAAGCCAGATTACAAATTAAAAGTGAATAATCCCCACATGGATAATTGAGACAATTATACAGTGTGCTCAATACATACAAATACATTTAGTTCCACAACACTCCACATACTCCCCGGTTTGTGCAATATGTGAAAAAAGATGTATGTGGCTACATAAATTACAGGTTCTGATACAAACACATTACTTACCCGGCACAACTTTAAAAGAGTCCCAGTTCAATCACCTTTTGAATTGTTTCCCTTTTGTTTTGATTCATTGTCTGAAGTAGAGCCACTAACCAGTTGAAAACATTTTGAATCTCTAGTGAAGTTTACTTCCTCCTCAATTACCTTCAAAACCATAGCTGGGCTTTTGAGTAAAAGAGCATCAAGTTGGTTTAAGTCTTGAATCTATGTAACCTGGAACAAAGCACTTAACATTACTGTTTCCCATTTCTGATCTGCATAATGACGATGAGAACAATGTTTGCTCCCCTGCACTGGGATGAGAATTAAGTAATGTGATATATACACAGGAAAACACTCTACCCTCCCTTATAGAACAAAGCACAGGCTTCCAAGCTTTTAGCAAAAAAGAGTCTCTAGTGGACACAAAGCCCCAATTCTTTTCATTTTCATTGATGTGGTGACCACATCTCATTACCACTTATCGCTAAAGGCTTGATGCAGTAAATAATTTCGTCCCTTAAATGAGACTCTCACACAAAATAGTTCTATGGTCTCTGGAATATAGGCATATATATCCAGCAGGTTGTCTACCTGCTGCCAGCTGCTAGAGAACAGGAAATGTACTTCCTGGAAATGTAATTCCACAATCACACTTTAACCCTAACTTCAAACTTGTCAACCCATCTTTATGATGGATCCAGAGCCCAGATCTGCTGCCCCTGATCTAATTATCTAATTATGGCTACTAAACATGCTGAATGCTTTTTTTTTTTTTTACATCCTGTGTTAGCCTGGGTTTTCTAGAAAACAATCTGATTACAAGTTAGTGCTTCACTGGGGGCTATAATTGTAGGGAAGTAGGAGTGAGGAGGGCAAAAGGGAAGGAAGGAAAGAAGGAAGCAAATACAAACTCATAGGTTATCCACTGGTCACAGCTTCAAAACCTAGCTCGTTTCTCAGTACTTTGAGATATTTCCAGAGACTAATTCAAGTCATTGTGTCTTGGAACAGCCAGGTGGTAGGAGGGAAAGAAATTTGTTTGCAGACTCTTTCCAGTCTCCTCTCTCTTGTTGGTCAAAATTTGTCCTATGGCTTATACCTCCCATTGTATTTCTGGGGTATGTCACCTGGTGCCTCTAGGCAGCCACTGGAAAATCCAAAGCTTCCATGAGTCAAGTCTGATAAAGTAGAAGCTGTAGGAGAAGAAGAGTCCATGGCCCAATCCCTGCCCATACGCATCTCCAGATATCTCCTCTCCCCACCCTTCCCGATGCCGCCAAGGGTAGCAGCAAGTGGCAGGGGCTTTAAGATCATGGGAAAAGTTCAGAGTTCCCAGGGGCCACTTTATTGAGAAAGTGGACCAACACGCTGAAGCCTGGGATACACTGAAGCTGAGCATATTTGGTAAGGTGCATAACTTGGAGACAGTTTCACTCCTTGAGTGGAATCTCAACACAAGAGTTGCTTGGGCCCTGAGTGCTTCAGCTCTTTAATGATGCAGTCTTTCAATTCGCATATGCCTAGTTGTTTCACCAAAGTTTATCACAGCATGGGTTGGAGTGAGGTTGGTGACAACCACTGCGTCCTGGGAGCTAACACTTCCTTCTGGGTATGCCCTTTGTCCTGTTTGGAGCCCCTCCCTTTTGCTGGGTTCCTTCTCAAGGGTGTCATGGCAGCCTCCTGCAATGTAGCCTCAGTCTGCACCCACCCTCTTCCCACTAGGCATGATTTATATCTTCACCCACAATGAAGTAGACCAAAGTCTGAGCCTTTTTTTTTCCCCCAGAAGTCTCCTCCAACCCTTAAATAAACCCTGAGTCAGACATGGTTCCACAGTGTAGCAGATAGCACATCTGCTTTACATGCAGAAGGTCCTGGGTTTGCGCCCCAGTGGAGCCACCGTCCATGGTCTACAGCCATGCCACCCTGAACAAGCCCAATGTCTGATCTCGGAAGCTAAGCAGAATCTGGCCTGGTTAATACTTGGATGGGAGACCACCTAGGAAGA